GGGAAGGGAAGGGAAGGGAAGGGAAGGGAAGGGAAGGGAAGGGAAGGGAAGGGAAGGGAAGGGAAGAGAAGAGTCAGGAAGAAGAAGGGGAAGGAAAGAAGGAAGAAAGGAAAGGAAAGGAAAAAGGAAAAAGGGGTTTGGAGGGAAAGGAGCCAGTGTCGGTTACCTTGTACTGCTCGAGGTGCTCGGCGTGGGGAAAGTGCACCAAGGGGGAGAACCTGTGGACGTAGGCGGTCTGGAGCCCGGTCCGGAAGAGGTGCTGGACCAGCAGGGAGCTGAGGAAGGTCTTGCCCGTGCCCGTCCAGCCGTGGAAGGACAGCACCAGGGGCTTTGCGGGGTCGGGGTCCTGCACGAACTCCCGCAGGCCTCGGACCACCAGCTGCCTGGCCAGAGGCTGCCCCACCAGGCGGAGGGCCAAGTCGCACTCGAGCCCTGGAGGGATGGAGAGAGAGGATGCAGCGATAAAGAAGGCCGGGTCCAGCGGCTTGGCTGCGGGGGTCCGTTTCGGCCATAAAGGCCGAGACACGTCTGCCAGGCAGGCACAAACGCGCCCCGGCTGTAGCCCGTGAGACGGGCACCACCCCTGTTCCTATTGGTAATCCTTCATGTGCCCCAAATTCCCTCTCCTCTCCCTTCTCCCATCCTCCCAGACCTTGGCTAATCAAGCTGGCTATCAAACTAGGACTGTTCCCAAAGGCTCCACCTCTCACAACAACCCTGCGAGGTAGGGGAGGACCGGTGCAGTTGGATGGGGACTTCGAACTTGGGCACTCTCATTGCCGTTCTCATCATCTTAGCCTACCTAGCAGGGCTGTTCCCTGGATGGAGAGGAGAAGCTATTGCCTAGGCGGGGTAGGACTCGAACTCGCGTCCCTGCGCCCTCCAGCGGCCGCCCTAACCGCTACCCCACGCCCGCCGACCCGCTGCAGCCTCGCCGCCCCTCACCAGTTAAATCTGGCCAGAATTCGCACTCGCAGGAAGCCGAGAGGCTGCAGTGCCAGGCGCTCGACCCCCAGGGGGCGCCC